CCCCTGCCTCTCCCCTGCCCCTCCCCTGCCTCTCCTCTGCCTTAGCCTCCCCCGCCACCACCTCCCCAGGCCCAACCCCGTGCCCTTGTCTTTGTTCCTGCCTCCTCTCTGCCTGCAGAACACGCTCTGTCTCTCGACTAATGCTTAAACATCACCAGCTCCCACCTGACACTTCCTGCCCTGCCAGGCAGGTACGTGCTGCCATCTCTAGCAGGTCACCATCCTCGTCCATATCCTAGCTGCTGTGAGCTCCTTCAGCTCTTAATACAGTCCCTGCTGCTTATGAAATGTTGAAAAAGTGAGATTTTTTTTTCTTACCTGAGGCAAGCTATATATTGTAATTAATTAATGTGGCCGGGCACAGTGGCTCATGCCTGTAATCCCACCACTCTGGGAGACAGAGGCAGGAGGATCACCTGAGGTCGGGAGTTCAAGACCAGTCTGACCAACACGGAGAAACCGCGTCTCTACTAAAAATACAAAAATAGCTGGGTGTGGTGGCGCACGCCTGTGATCCCAACTACTCGGGAGGCTGAGGCAGGAGAATCGCTTGAACTGGGGCGGCGGAGGTTACGGTGAGCCAAGATCGTGCCATTGCACTGCAGCCTGGGCAACAAGAGCGAAACTTCGCCTCAAAAAAAATAAAAATAAAAATAATTAAGGTTATCTAAAGCTTCTCCTGTCAGGAGGAGCCAAATAAGATCCTCAGTGAGAGTGTATATGAAAGGAATGAACAAAAAAGACTTTGTTTCTGGTCCTGACTCTGGACCTTAGACTAGCCATTCACTCTGTTGGTCTCGGTTTCCTCATTTGTAAAAAATCTGTCTCCCCTACTTACAAGGTGGTGGGTAGGATTCAAACTTCATAATACATATAAAAATGCTCTGTAACCTATAAAAACACATGGCACTTCTATTATCACTATCAATGCTAGATCTGTTTTAGTATTTTCACTCACAAATACAAATAAGTATATCGAACATTGGCTAATTTGGCAAATGTCTCCTGTCTACTAAATGGTGATACTACTTAGAAAAAGATAAACAGGCCGGGCGCGGTGGCTCACACCTGTAATCCCAGTACTTTGGAAGGCTGAGGTGGGTGGATCACAAGGTCACGAGATCGAGATCATCCTAGCCAACATGGTGAAACCCCATCTCTACTAAAAATACAAAAATTAGCTGGGCGTGGTGGCGGGCACCTGTGGTCCCAGTTACTCGGGAGGCTGAGGCAGAGAATCACTTGAACCCAGGAGACAGAGGTTGCAGTGAGCCAAGATTGTGCCACTGCATTCCGCCTGCGCCGCGATCAGACTGAGATTCTGTCTCAAAAAAAAAAAAAAAAAAAAAAATTAGGTAATTTCTATTTCCCTGTATTTTCTTTCAGAACTAACTGCAAGTTATTTATCTTTTTACTCCAATCTTATTTATGAAATACATTTTCTTTTCCTATGTTTTACAATTTTTTTTTTGACACTGCTGGAGTGAAGTGGTGCAATTTTGACCTACCGCAGCCTCGACCTCCCAGGCTCAGGTGATCCTCCCACCTCAGCCTCCCAAGTAGCTGGAACTACAGGCGTACGCCACCATCCCCACAACTAGTTTTTGTACTTTTTGTAGCAAAAGGGTTTCATCAAGTTGTCCAGGCTGGTCTTGAATTCCTAGACTCAAGCGACCCAGCCACCTCGGCCTCCCAAAGTGCTGGGACTGCAGGCATGAGTCACCTCCCCTGGCCAATGATACACCTTTTAAGTTTCGGGCTTATGTCTACATATTCATTCTGCTCAGCTGAGGTTGAAATTTACTTAACAAGTCCAACACTTCATGAAGCCTCTATAAAATGTGCTATATAATAGGGTTTATAGCTTTCACAGCTTAAAAAACCATGAAAATCTCTAAGACCATTTCCCATCACAGCAGCACGTTCTACTGGACAGCACTGTTGAAGACCAAGCCTCTCTGCAGACATCAAAAATCTAGGAAGGCAGAAGGTGTAAGATCTCCTTGGCAACTCAGATGGTAACATTTGGAATTGCAGAGTCCACGGGAGTAACACTAGTTCCTTCTCTAATGTTGGCCCTGCCTACGATCTGACTATTAGACCCAAGAATTTTGTCTAGTACCTGTGAAACCCATCTGATCACGTGACAGGTGCTCTCTTCTCCCGTAAGACTGAGTAGTGTGCCTCTGAGACAGTGCTTTTGGCTCTCAAAAGCTTTGCAGACACTTGTATCTCAGCATGACCAAAATTAACTTACCTTCACATGCTGCTACACTCTACCCAAATCTGCCTTGTTCCCAGAGTTCCTTATCTCAAGAAATTACACACATTGAAATTACACACTGAACTCTTAGGCCAGAACCTTAGAAATAAACATTTTAACACTTGCTTCCTTCTCCTTCAATTCTCATATCCAATCAATCACCAGATCCTATTGATTCCACTTCTCAATTATTCTCAAGTTGTCCACTTACCTCCACGCCACTGCTACTACTATCCCAAAGCCACGTACTCCCCCACCTGGACTGTCTTCACAGCATCCAAGCCCTGAACCCACCATGTTTCCCTCCAACACACCTGTCACATCTATGGAAGATCCATCTGATCCCATTATTCCCTATTCACATTACCTGTAAGATAAAACTGAAACACTGGACACTACTTCTTATAGATACATGTCTTGCCTATTTCTCTCCACACTCACTTTTGCCCAGTATGCTCCAATCACAGTATAAATATACTCCCTCTCTGTTGCTCACGGGCCTTACCACATGCAGTTTTCTCCACCGGGAGTGCTTCTGCCCTCTGTCTGGCTAACTTCTACTCATCCTATAGGTCATCTTCTAGGTGAACCTTCCTAGTCTCTAAATCAGATTAGGTTCCCCAGGTGTAAGCTCTTTAGCACCCTGATTCTTCCACTTCATAAAATTCATCACTGTTTTTTACTATGATTGTTTCACTGCAAGATGGTAAGTACTGGGAGATCAATTACCTTCCCCTCTTTTTTTTTGAGGCAGTTTTGCTCTTGTTGCCCAGGCTGGAGTGCAATAGCACGATCTCAGCTCACTGCAACTTCCGCCTCCCAGGTGCAAGTGATTCTCCTGCCTCAGCCTCCTGAGTAGCTGGGATTACACGCACCTGCCACCACACCTGGCTAATTTTTTGTATTTTTAGCAGACACGGGGTTTCACCATATTGGCCAGGCTGGTCTACCTTCTCCTCTTTATCACTCATGCCTGTACTATCACAGCCTAGCACAGAACTTGGTATATTATAGTAAATCAGCAAACATATGACGAATGATACATAATTCTATAAATGAATAAAGAAATAATATTTTAAAAAACTGAAATGCAATTCTGAACAATTATTAAAACCAAAGCAGGACTGACCTGGTGTTTTCATTATATTCAAAAATCTGAACCTTGGCCATTGCGTTGGGGCTACTGTCATCACTTCCTACAGCGATCATGGGGGAATGAGCTCGAGAGCTAGAAACAAAAGAAATACACACGTCAGAGAATGAACACACTGGAGGCAAGCAGACACCCAGCTTACAGTCAGCCTGTCACTACTAGTGACATGTAGGTCTCTGCCACACTGCTGACATGGCCACACTGCCAGTGTGTGCACCTGAGAATGCCACACATGGGAGCTGAGGATTCCATCCTTATGAACTGGTTTTAGCATGTTCTTACGGCTCAGAAAGAAAGGAGCTCTTTGCCTGAAAGAAAGCTTTCAAGCATTCAACATATTTCTAAAAAATACTTAAGAGGTCTTAGTAATTTTTCCTCCTGAAATTTTCGGTCATTAACTATGAAACAAAAAGTAACCCTACTGTGACTAACTTCATGACAAAAAGATTGTAAGTGCTTTGACAAAAAGAAGAAACACGCAGGTAGGGTGGCTTGCACTGGTGATCCCAGCATTTTCAGAGGCTGCGACGAGAGGATCATTTGAGGCCAGAAGTTCAAGAAGAACCTGGGCAACATAATGAGACCCTATCTCTACAAACAAAAAGTTTTTAATTAGCCTGTTGTGGTGGCGTGTGCTGTTTGTCTTAGCTACTTAGGAGCTGAGGCAGGAGGATCGCTGGAGCCTGGGAGTTGGAGGCTGCAGTGAGCTATGATCATGTCGCTGCACTCTAGCCTGGGCAACAGAGCGAGAGCCTCTTTCAGAAAAAAAACCAGCAGATGGACACAGGAAAAGCGGAAAAGCCTACCCCTGCAGAAGTCATGATCCCACATCACTGCCCCCTCCAAGACTCATTTGTGGTCAACCTCATTTTGAAAGAGCAAAAGATAAGCAATGAAAGAATGGCTCTCCTGAACTAACAGTTGAATGACTTTTTAATTTCTATGCCTAATGAATATAATTTCCTTTGCCTCCCTCATCCAGATTAATATCTCTGTGAACCTGGCACCCTTGTTTAATCTTTAGCCTCAATATTGTGAACTACTGACCTCTTACAGCTAAAAACAAAATGTGGTAACTGATAAAAAATTTTAGTTCTTTATTACTAAAGCTTCAGGTAATTAGATCAAATTATCTAATTAAGAAAATTACCAGGCAAACTACAAAATGCTACAGTAATGAAATAAAATTATAAGTTATTTATAATAATTTTTGGCTATTCAAATAGATGTAAATTCCACAGCAAATTTCTGTATCTCACAAACTTCCTTTTGCTTTTTTTTCCTGTTTTTTTGAGACAGAGCACCGCTCTGTCACCTAGGCTGGAGTGCAGCGGCAAGATCTCTGAACACTGCAACCTCCACCTCCTGGGTTCAAGTGATTCTCCTGCCTCAGCCTCCTGAGTAGCTGGGATTACAGGCATGAACCACCACACCCGGCCACAAACTTCCTTTTTCAGTGTTCTACAAGTTTTTAGTTTTGTTTTTATAACATTAATAGTGTGAATGAGGACCAAAAGTACACTTACAGTAACATATTCTAAATTACTAAAAACGTCAGTTTTGTGGGTTTTTTTTTTTTTTTTGAGACAGCGTCTTACTCTGTAGCCAGGCTGAAGTGCAGTGGCGCGATCTCGGTTCACTGCAACCTCCTCCGCCTCCTGGGTTCAAGCAGTTCTCGTGCCTCGGCCTCCCAAGTGGCTGGGATTACAGGCACGCACCACCACACCCAGCTAATTTTTGTATTTTTAGTAAAAATGGGGTTTCACCACATTGGCCAGGATGGTCTCAATCTCCTGACCTCGTGATCTGCCCACCTCGGCCTCCCAAAGTGCTGGAATTACAGGCGTAAGCCACCACGCCCGGCCAAGATTTTTTTTTTTTTAATTGAGATTGGAGTCTCACTATGTTGCCCAGGCTGGACTTGAACTCCTGAGCTCAAGCAATCCTCCTCCCAAGTAGCTGAGACTACAGGCGTGCACCACCACACCCAGTTAAAAAATATAAGATTTAAAAAATTATTTGTTTGTTGTTGTTTTTCTTTGGCGTAGGGGCAGGGGGTGCGGGTACAGAGTTTTGCTCTTGTTGCCCAGGCTGGAGTGCAATGTTGCGATTTCGCAACTTCCACCTCCCAGGTTCAATGATTCTCCTGCCTCAGCCTCCTGAGTAGCTAGCATTACAGGTATGTGCCACCAAATCCAGCTAATTTTGTATTTTTAGTAGAGAGGGGTTTTCTCCATGTTGGACAGACTGGTCTCCAACTCCCAACTTCAGGGGATCTCCCCACCTCAGCCTCCCAAAGTGCTGGAATTACAGGCGTGAGCCACTGTGCCTGGCCTTAAAAATATTTTTAAATCCAGTCACGAAATGTCCAGAGAGCAACTTGAATTGAGGATTACCTAAACTGTACAACCAGATATAAGACATTCACATTTAAACCACTTTCTAAGTATGATTCACAGCTAAACAGTGAGAAAAACCATCCAGCTTTCTGACGGAATAGTGCAGACAGATCACCTGGATCTCTGCCTCCCTCCTAAACCCCACTGAAATGATGAAATAATATCATCATACTGGGCTAGAAATCTAGAAAGAGTGCCATCCGAAATCAAGAAACTTGGAGGGTTTCCAGGAAGTCAGGAGGCAGATCAGACTGAGAAAGAAAATACAAAGGAAGAAAGAGCCCATATCACCATCAGTAAGTAGAAAATTGCAGAAGGTTGGCCGGGCGCGGTGGCTCCCGCCTGTAATCCCAGTACTTTGGGAGGCCGAGGCGGGCGGATCATGAGGTCAGGAGATCGAGACCATCCTGGTTAACGTGGTAAAACCCCATCTCTACTAAAAATACAAAAAAATTAGCTGGGCGTGGTGGCAGGTGCCTGTGGTCCCAGCTACTCAGGAGGTTGAGGCAGGAGAATGGCGGGAACCCGGGAGGCGGAGCTTGGAGTGAGCTGAGATCGTGCCACTGCACTCCAGCCTGGGCGACAGTGCGAGACACCGTCTCAAAAAAAAAAAGAGAAGAAAAAAAAGAAAATTCCAGAAGATCCAACCTCCAATTAATAAATGCAAAGAATAGAAATGAGTTATGGACAATCATGGAGTGATTTGGTCAAAAAACACTGTCTTAGTGAGACAATCAGAACTTGAAAGAGAAAAGTTAAGAGCTGGAAATAAATGAGTACTCCAAAACCAACGGGGAAAGGGGCAGGGAGGAAGAAAATACGTTCAAATGGTTCATCGTGCTCAATGGAAAATCCTTCTTGCTTTGTGAGTCTGAGGGTGCCCCAGCCTGCTCTTGGCTCACACATCCTTAGGAAATGCTGCCAACCCACTCCACGTACTCCACAAAATGCAGTCAGCCTCCCCAGTGGAGAGAGTACGTTGTTAACCCAACAGAGCACCCAGCAGGAGAAAAATGCCAATACCAGTTTTCTCTACTAGCAGTAACACTCACCCATAAATAAAAATAAGCAAAGACCAGCGGACACCAAAGAAAAACAAGCAGCGCAGAAGATAAAGACCAAGACACATGAAAAGAACTGATCTTTGAGAAAACACATATAGCCAATCCTCACTATTTAGAGATTCTGCATTTGTAAACTGGCCTAAAATTTATTTGTAACCATAAAACCCAATTCTCTCAGGCCTTCTTTGTTATTATTTTTTTCTCTTTTTTGAGACAGAGTCACACTCTGTTGCCCAGGCTGGAGTACAGTGGCATGATCTCATTGCAACCTTCACCTCCAGGGTTCAAGCAATTCTCCTGCCTCAGCCTCCTGAGTACCTGGGATTACCGGCGCACACCACCACGCCCAGCTAATTTTTGGATTTTTAGTAGAAAGTGTTTTGCCATGTTGGCCAGGCTGGTCTCAAACTCCTGACTAGAAGTGATCCGCCCACCTCGGCCTCCCAAGTGCTGGGATTACAGGCATGAGCCACAGCGCCCGGCCCAGGCTTTCATGGTCATTGATTGGCAGGTACAAAGCAGCTCTGCAAAAAAATCCAGTTGCCTGATGCACAGTTTCCCAGCAGAGATGCCTTCTTCCTTTGGCTCTCATTGGTAAACGAATATCCTTTTCACAGTCTAGTCAGTTCGCCTCACGTTTTTCACATTTTTGTGCTTTTTAAAAGTGATTTCACAGTTTAAAATCCCGTGGATGCTGCTGAAGCGCTGTCTAGTGTTCCTAAACATAGGAAGGCCGGGATGTGCTTTAGGGAGAAAATTTGTGTATTCAGAATGCCTTGTTCAGGCCTGAGTAGTTTGTGTTGTTGGCTGTGAGTTCGATGTTAATGAATCAACAACATATCAGTTACCTTTAAAAAGAAAGACACACAAAAAGGTTATATACTGATCAGTTGACAGAAATGTAGTGAGAGACTTGCGGAAAGCCTGTATTTCCCCTAGGAGCAATTCAGTATCCAGTATTGGGTAATTCAGCGTTCATGGTAACTTTATAGAACATAGCCAGGGCAAATGATAATTGAGCTAGTATCCAGTATTATAGCTCAGCGAACAAATGCAAATTTTAAAAACTCTCAACTAGGAACCACAGGGAAATAGTGTAATACATGTAACAAAAACTGACTGGTATAAAAAAGAAATAATCAGAGAAAAAGAAAGTCTGAACAATTAAAAATGATTGCCATTCACATAAAAATTCAATGATGGGATAAAATGTATACCTGGAGAACAAAGTGGAGATCTGGGAGATGGAGTACTAAATCTCCAAACAATTTTTTTTAAATGGAGAGTAAATTCTGGAATAATCAAATAGGAGTGCCAGAAAGACAGAATAGAGACGAGAGAATAAAAAGAAATTATTAAAGGATCATAAGATATCCCCAATTTGAGACAAGAACACTCATTTTTAAAGGGACCACTGAGTGTCGAGTAGGACTGGCCAAGTGCAGTGGCTCATGCCTGTAATCTCAGCACTTTGGGAGGCCAGGCCAAGAAGACTGCTTGAATGAAAAAAAAAAAAAATCTAAAGACAACATGTGACAGAAAATCTGTGACAGCTAAGTATAAGCCAGAAGTAAAAGAAATCAAGAAAGGAAACAGCACTCATCATAAGGTAATACCAGCTTATTCTATAAGAACAACAAAGCTTTCATGAAACAGATACTGGCATCTCGAATGAATACTTACATAATCTAGATTGTAAAGCTGGCTGCTGCTTGATTTTTAGAATCAATTTGTAGTCAAAAGACAAAATACACATATGTGTTAAATGTTTACAGAATGTAAATATTATAAATCTTGCCAGTATACAAGCAATATAAGAATTAGGAAACGGACTGAGTGTCTCACGCCTGTAATCCCAGCACTTTGGGAGGCCCAGGCAGGCGGATCACAAGGTCAGGAGATCGAGACCATCCTGGCTAATATGGTGAAATCCGCTCTCTATGAAAAATACAAAAAGTGAGTTGTGCATGGTGGCAGGTGCCTGTAATCCCAGCTACTCAGAAGGGCTGAGGCAGGGGAATCACTTGAACCCGGGAGGCGGAGGTTGCAGTGAGCCGAGATCACGCCATTGCACTCCAGCCTGGGTGACAGAGCGAGACTCCGCCTCAAAAAAAAAAAAAAAAGAATGAGGAAATGGAAGGGGCAATATGAGGGGGAAGCAAAATAAACTAATTTCCTATTTCTTAAGAGCGCAGAAGCTAGGCACAGTGGCTCACACCTGCCAGCACTTTGGCGAAGGAACACAAGGCGGGCAGATCACCATGAGTCCAGGAGTTCAAAGACCCGCCTGAACTAACCATGGAGTCAACCCTCGGTCTCTACTAAAAAACAACAAAAAAACTAGCCGGGGGTGTGGTGGCGGCGGGTGCCTGTAATCCCAGCTACTAGGGAGGCTGACACAGGAGAATCACTTAAACCCAGGAGGTAGAGGTTGCAGTGAGCAGAGATCATGCCACTGCACTCCAGCCTGGGCAACAAGGCAAGACTCCATCTCAAGAAAAAAAAAGAGAGGTGAGTAAATAGTCTAAAAACTGATAAATATGTATAGAGATATATATTATTTGAAATTATAATAATTACCAACATAACTCAAACAACTATCAACATCACCACAAATAAGATATCTATCTAGTCAGACCTTGGGATGTGGAAAGTTGTATAAATGTGCTCTATTCATCTTTCCCATCAGTTTGGATATTGTTTAATGATAACATAGCAAGAACATGTGGAAAAATAGCAGAATAAAAATTAAAAAAAAAAAAAAGATAACATAGCAAGAACCAGAGGTATAAGTAAATCCTTTAAAAATATACTAGTGACTACCAGAATTAAAGTCTGAAAACAGAACTAATAACAGCATTTGTTTTTAGGGGGTAAAAGAACTTTACCTTTCTTTCTGTATTCTTACAGATTATTTCAATTCTTTTCTTTACCAAGTGATTGTTGTAATTGTTTAAAAATAGGTTAATAAAAAGCAACTATGATAATATACATGCAATCATGCTCTATATGGCAGTTAAAAAGAAATGAGGTAGAACTAGATATATTAATATATGGAAAAATGCCCACAATGTATCTTTAAGTGAAAAAAGCTAATTGCAAGGAAGGAAAATGTAAGGGTTTCTGGCTGGGTGCAGTGGCTCACGCCTGTAATCCCAGCGCTCTTGGAGGCTGAGGTAGGCAGATCACCTGAGGTGATCAGTCTGGCCAACATGGTGAATCACGGTCTACACTAAAAATGCAAAATTAGGCGGATGTGGTGGCGCATGCCTGTAATTCTAGCTACTTGGGAGGCTAAGGCAGGAGAAATGCTTGAACTCAGGAGGTGGGGGCTGCAGTGAGCCAAGACAGCGCCACTGCACTCCAGCCTGGGCAACTGAGCAACACTGTCTCAATCAACCAGTCAATCAATCAATCAAATGTATGGGTTTCAACATGTGTGTTTTGTGTCTACCTGTGCTAGTAAATATTTGGGCGTGTCTGCATATGTCTGTTTATGACTTCATTAGTTATTTGTACATGCATAGAAAACATCCAAAAGGTTCACATGAACATATTTACAATGCTGGTTCCCTCTGCTGAGCGGAAACGGGGACAAGTGACATGCTGGGTGAAAAACGGAGAACATATAATCTATATATCTTGAGAAAAAGCACTTTTGAGAGAATAAATTATCAAATTATTACCTTAAAAATTACTAGTTTATGGGCCAGGCACAGTGGCTCACGCCTGTAATCACAGCACTTTGGGAGGCTGAGGCGGGCAGATCACAAGGTCAGGAGATAGAGACCATCCTGGCTAACAGGGTGAAACCCCTTCTCTACTAAAAATACAAAAAATTAACCGGGTGTGGTAGCGAGCACCTGTAGTCCCAGCTGCTCGGGAGGCTGAGGTAGGAGAATGACAACAACTCGGGAGGCGGAGCTTGCAGTGAGCCGAGACTGCGCCACTGCACTCCAGCCTGGGGGACAGAGGGAGAAGCTGTCTCACAAAAAAAAAAAAAAATTACTAGTTTATTTTACTAGGATGTTATCAGAGGTTTAACATGTAAACTTACCTTGAAGGGTTCCAAGAAATACAACTACAGCTTAGCTTACATGAGATCTCATGCTGCAAAGACCACTGGCTGAGATTCATAACATCTGGTGCCTCATATATTCTTACTATACCATCTGCCGAACAGGTTGCTAACATAAGACCCATGTGCTTGGGAGCAAACTTCACATCAGTAACAGATGTTCTGCTATCCACCAGAGTTGTCCTTTTAACCTAAAAAAAAAAAATTAACAATTTAAATTCCATACAAAAAGAAAGCATGGTAGAGTGGGAAAGACACACAGACTCTGGATCACACAGAAACTCCTCTGTCATTCACTAGGTATACGAGCTTGGATATGTGTCTGGGCCATAATTTCCTACAAGTACATGGCAAAATACCACATATATAACTGGGAATCACTAACAAATTAGCTAGTTATAATTAATTACTCCCTTTAATGAAAAAAAAAAGTCTACCTCCAAAAGCCTCCCTTTATATATAAGTAATCTCTCTTAAGCAGACTGGTCACAAAAAACAGAAAATGTTAGAATTTTCAGACAAGTAGTTTTGACATACAAAGCATGCTGCAGGCATTAGATCCTTTAACAGTAAATGAGTTGAGCATGATGGCTCACACCTGTAATCCCAAAACTTTGGGAAACCGAGACAGGCAGATTGCTTGAGCTCTGGAGTTCAAGACCAGCCTGGGCAACATGGCAAGACACCATCTCTACTAAAAATTAAAAAAAAAAAAAAAAAAAAATAGCCAGGTGTGGTGGTGCACACCTGTGGCCCCAACTATTCGGGAGGCTGAGGTGGGTGGACTGCTTGAGCCAGTGCGGCAGAAGGTACAATGAGCCAAGATCGCACCACTGTACTCCAGACTGGGTGACAGAGCAAGACCCTGTCCCAAAAAAACAAACCAACCAACCAACCAACAAAACAACAACAACGAGTGGGCCACTGCACACGCAGACTGCCCACCCCAAGGGAGGAATCAGAGGAGAAGAGACAAAAAAAACACTAAGGAAAGCATGCAATTTCTTCTCTCAAGAGTAATTTTCTGTTAATCCCATTTGGACCACTATTATTCTCCTTTTTTTTTTTCTTAGGGACGGGGTCTTGCTCTGTCACCCAGGCTGGAATACAGTATCATGATCATGGCTCAAGTGATCCTTTTGCCTCAGCTTTCCCAGTAGCTGGGATGACAGGCACCTGCCACCATGCCCAGCTAGTTTTTCTTTTTTTTTTTTTAGAGATGGGGGTCTCACTATGTTGCACAGATGGGTCTCCAACTTCTGGCCTCAAGCGATCCTCCCACCTCAGCCTCCCGAGTTGCTAGGATTACAGGTGTGAGCCACTGCACGCAGCTACCATGCACTTTTAAGTGAAGGCATTTAACAGAGACCAAAAGAACGGTAGAAAGCAAGCTCTGTGATCACTGTAAAATTCCAACATCACATTTAAAAGTTACCTTCTGGCACACAGATAAGATAAAACCTTACTAAAAACATCAATAAGCCCAGGTGCGGTGGTTCACGCCTATAATCCCAGCACTTTGGGAGGCTAAGGTGGGCGATCACTTGAGGTCAGGAGCTCAAGACCTGCCTGGCCAACATGCTGAAACCCTATCTCTACTAAAAATATACAAATTAGCCAGACGTGATGGCAGGAGCCTGCAATCCCAGCTACTAGGGAGGCTAAGGCAGTAGAATAGCTTGAATGTGGTAGGCGGAGGCTGCAGTGAGCCGAGATCACGTCACTCACCAGACTGGGTGACAGAGCGAGACACTGTCTCAAAAAAAAAAAGTCAATAAAGTTTAGAAATCAACAGATTACTGTCTATGGTTACCAAAATGCCTCTTAAAGAGTCTCAATATTGGCCAGGCGCGGTGGCTCACGCCTGTAATCCCAGCACTTTGGGAGGCTGAGGCGGGCTGATCACGAGGTGAGAAGATCGAGACCATCCTGGCCAACACTGTGAAACCCCGTCTCTACTAAAAAATACAAAAAAATCAGCCAGGCGAGGTGGTGAGCTCCAGTGGTCCCAGCTCCTCGGGAGGCTGAGGCAGGAGAATGGCGGGAACCCAGAGGGTGGAGCTTGCAGTGAGCTGAGATCGCGCCACTCACTCCAGCCGGGGCGACAGAGCAAGACTCCGTCTCAAAAAACAAGAGTCTCAATATTAAAAGGATGATATTACATACACTTCAAAGGTAACACCTTAGCAAACATTTGTCTACAGACCCCACTGAATAATACAAACACAGATGCTGAGAAAATCAACGCATGTGTTACAGTGGGTCGTCAGACAGGAGCAGGGCAGCAGAGGACCCCACCCCACCAGGAACACCAAGCAACCATGCGGTGACGGGCAGGCCGTGGTTAAACTCTCTCTCTGAACTAACCACTGGCTGCAGCCACGCCCGCGAACGCAGTCTCCGAACAGACACAAACCCCGGACACCGGCGACCCGCAGCGCCTGGGGAGACCGCAGGAGGCGGACGAGCGGCTCACGCATGCGCACTAAGAGGCAAAATGGCGGAAGCCAGCCGATGTACGAGCTTCTAGGAACATTCTGTTCAGGGAAAACGCCCCAAGCGAGCATCTGCACAACTCCGGTAAACACACCGCACACGCAGCCCTCCCAAGCACGAGCGGGCCACCGCACACGAGGACTGCCCACCCCAGAGGGGAATCAGAGAAGAGACGCAACCCCGGGAAGCACGCCAACGTCTGACCACCCAAGTCAAAGGTCTGCTTTAACCGGATTGCCTCTCTCAGCTGAGAGAGCCGGACAGACTCCATTTCAGTGCCTTCACTTGCAGCCCACCTTACCTCCCCCCGTGAAAGGCGTAGCGAGGGCAAGCTGACTCCAGGAACGCACTTGCTGGTAAGATACTGAGGCAAGTTCAATCAGCAGCTCCCGGGGATGCGCTCGCTGGATGGTACCTGAAGCCCCTGCATTTATCTCTCTGTGATGGTCTGAGTCCCTGCGCCTGGAACTGTTTATTTTTCTGTAACTGCTTCTGTAACCAATTACTTTTTTAACTTTTTGCCTGTTCTGCTTCTGTAAAAAATGCTTCAGCTAAACTCCCCCTCCCCTATTTAGACCATGGTATAAACAGAAATTTAGCCCCTTCTTCGGGGCTAGAGAATTTTGAGCGCTAGCCGTCTCTCGGTGGCCGGCAATAAAAGGACTCCTGAATTAGTCTCACAGTGTGGCGTTTGTCCACAACTCGCTCAGTTACAACAGGTCAAACCATGCATTTGACTCTCTCAAGTCACCCACTTGGTCCTCTTCCAAGTGTATTTTACTTCCTTTCATTTCTGCTGTAAAATTTTTTAACAAACTTCCACTCTGGCTCTAAAACTTACCTTAGTCTCTTACTCTGCCTTATGCCCCCCTAGGTGGAGTTCTTTCTTCTGAGGAAGCAAGAAATAAGGTTGCTGCACACACAAATGGATTTGCCACTGCTAATATATTAATGAAAGGTGACTAAACTAAATACAAATAAGTATCTTGAAGTTTGAACAAAAGTCCTTCTTATGCCACCACTCCCAAATCCAACCTATAGTATACTGAACTGACACACCTCCGATTTAATGCCAAAAAATCCTTTATAAGTCTATAAATTTCTATTCCCTCCTCCCCATAAGCAGCTGTTTGGCTTAGGGAATCCCTAGTGCAAAGGCAATCAGACATACTCCTACCCCTAGAAGAGCTGTAAAACAGTCTGAATAGCCACTCAAGCTACAAAGTTACCGGAATTAAAACAGTGCGCTATTAGGACAAGGAGACATACAGACCAGTGGTCCACAAGAGAGCCCAGAAAGCAATCCTCCATATATATAGCCAATTAATTTTCAACAAAGGTGTCAAGACCATTCAACAGGGGAAAGAACGGTCTTTTCAATAAATGGTGCTGGGAAAACTAGATTTCAGCACCCTAGCATTTTTTAATGAGTGAAATAAATAATTTTTGTCAGGCCCTTGCTTGCTTGCACACGTTAATCACTCACTTTTTGCTAAATATTCCTTGTTGCAAACAATATAAAGATAAATTCTTGATGTACTGCTTTTCTTTGTCAAGCAGAAAGAGATAACTTCAGGGTCACGTAAAGAAAAATGTTGCCAGAAGAAATGAATGGCTTTAGGGACACTGTTACCAGCTGCTAACAACCAGATGTCTGGTTGCTGAAGGCATTATCTGAGACTAAAAAAACACAGACTTTTCCACTAGATTCTGTGAAACTCCCCATCCCTTACTCTCTAGTCACATTAAAAACTACCCACTGCTTCCTTTTGTTTAGATGGATTTAAGAGATCTTTTCCTCCCACCTTCTTGCTTTAGCCAAATCAAATAAACCTTTCTCTATCTCCAAGTACCGATGACTCAGTATTTGATCTCAGCTCCACACTGGGGATACAAGCCTGAATTGAGGATTCTATAACAATCTTAGAAGAAAACGCTGGGGAAAGTCTTCCTGACACTCGATTTGGCAATGCCTTCCTGGATATAACACCAAAAGGAGGGGAAACAAAAGAAAAAAATAGATAAACTAGACTTCAAAATTTTTAAATTTTGTACATCAAAGAAAATCATCAAGAGTGAAAAAGGCAACCCACAGAATGGGAGAAAGTATTTGTAAATCATTTACAGATTGTGCATATGAAATCCAAAAATCTGAAATCTGAAATGCTCCAAAACCCAAAACTTTTTGAGCACTGGCATGATGCTCAAAAAAAATGCTCACTGAAGCATTCTGAATCTCAAAGTTTTGGATTTAGAATGCTTAATTGGAGTCGGGCATGGTGGCTCACACCTGTAATCCCAGCACTCTGGGGGGGCCCAAGGTGGAGGATCGCTTGAACCCAGGAGTTCAAGACCAGCCTGGGCAACTCTATTAAGTGAATAAATAAATAGGCAAATGCTTAACTGGTAAGTATAAATGCAAATATTCCAAAATCCGAAATCGAAAACATTTCTGAATCCTAGCATTATGGATAAGGAATACTCAACCTATACCAGATAAGGGATTAATATCTAGAACATATAAAGAACTCCTACAACAACAAAAAACCCATTTTAAAAAATGGGCAAAGGATATGGATAGTATTTTCCCAAGGAAGACATACAATTGGTCAATAAGCACATGAAAATATGGTCAACATCAGTAATTCCTAGAGAAATGCAAATCAGAACCACAATGGAGATATCACGTCACAACACAGTCACTAGGATGGCTACAATAAAAAGCACAATAACAAGTGCTAATGAAGATCTGGAAAAACTGGAACCGTTGAGCATTGCTGGTAGGAATGTAAAATGGTGTAGCTGCTATGGAAAAGTCGGACAGTTCCTAAAAACGTGAAACATAGAACTACCATATGAGCCAGCAATTGTACTCCTAGGTATATATCCAGAATAATGGAAAGCACGGTCTCAAACGTTTATCTGTACAACAATGTTCACAGTATTCACGACAGCCATGAAGCGGAAATAACCCAAGGGTCCGTCTACAAATGAACGGATAAACAAAATGTGGTATACACACACAATGGAATATTACCCACCCATAGAAAGGAATAAAGTTAATATATGCTACAATATGGACAGACCTTGAAAACATTTTACTTAGTGAAACAAGCCAGTCACAAATCGACAAATACTGTGATTCCACTTATATGCAGTACCTAGTCAAATTGATAGATAGTTGAATGGGGGTAGAGGGAGGAGGAAGGGGGAGGCATTCTTTAACAATACGGAGTTTACGTTGGCAATGATGAACAGTTTTGGGTATAGATAACAGTGATGGGTACACAGCACTGTGAACGTAATTAATTCTACTGAATTATAATAGTTACAAATAGTTAAAATGGACCGGGCACCATGGCTCACGCCTGTAATCCCAGCACTTCGGGAGGCCAAGGCGGGCGGATCATTTGAGGTCAGGAGTTCGTGACCAGCCTGACCAACATGGTGAAACCCTGTCTCTCCTAAAAACACAAAAAAATTAGCTGGGCATGGTGACACATGCCTGTAGTCCCAGCTACTCAGGAGACTGAGGTAGGAGAATCGCTTGAACCCCAGAGGCGGAGAATGCAGTGAGCCGGGATCCCACCACCTTACTCCAGCCTGGGCAACAGAGCAACACTCTGTGGGGGGGGAAACCAAACAGCTAAAATGAGGAATATTACATTATACATATTTTACCACAATAAAAAACTGCATCATGGCCCGCATAGTGGCTCACGCCTATAATCACAGCACTTTGGGAGGCCTAGGCGGAAGGACTGCTTGAGTCCAGGAGTTCAAGACCAGCGTGGGCAACATGGTGAAACCCCATCTCTACAAAATAAAAAAATTAGCCTGTGGTGCACGCCTGTGGTCCCAGCTACCTGGGGGGCGAAGGTGGAAGGATCGCTTAGGCCCAGGAGGTTGAGACGGCAATGAGCTGCCACTGGCTCTAATGTAGTAGCATGCATTAGGGAGGGTAGGTGAGGGGTAATAGCAGGACACTCCCACTACATACTTCCTTTTGTTTCTTTTGAAAGTTATACCATGTACATGATTATGTATTACAAAAAACAAATCATAAAAGGGGGGAAAAAGCCTACAGATGATAATACCTTCATATGAAAATGCTAGAAAGAGTCTTACATATAATCTAGTTCAATGTTTTCACTTTATAGATGAGGAACTTCAACAGCACACAGATTATATTATGTTCTTGCCCAAATTCAAACATCCAGTCAGGCAAAGACAGCGATAAAAGCAGATGCAGATAAGGGAGAGTGTGTGGTTTTTTTTGTTTGTTTTTTTTTTTGAGATGAAGTCTCGCTCTTGTCCCCCAGGCTGGAGTGCAATGAAGCGATCTCGGCTCACTGCAACCTCTGCCTCCCGGGTTCAAATGATTCTCCTGCCTCGGCCCCCAGAGTAGCTGGGATTACAGGTACCTGCTACCATGCCTGGCTAATTTTTGTAATTTTTGTATTTTTAGTAGAGAAGGGGTTTTACCATGTTGGTCAGGCTGGTCTCAAACTCCCGAGCTCAGGTGATCCACTCGCCTTGGCCTCTCGAAGTGCTGAGATTACAGGCATAAGGAGAGTACATTTTCTTTTTTCTTTTTTTTTTTTTTTTTGAGACGGAGTTTTACTCTTATTATCCAGGCTGGAGTACAATGGCACGATCTCAGCTCACAGCAACCTCTGCCCACTGGGTTCAAGCGATTCTCCTGCCTCAGCCTCCTGAGTAGCTGGAATTACAGGCATGAGCCACCATGCCCAGCTAAGTTTTGTATTTTTAGTAGAGACGGGGTTTCTCCATGTTGGTCAGGCTGGTCGCAAACTCCTGACCTCAGGTGATCTGCCCACCTCGACCTCCGAAAGTGCTGGGATTATAGGCGTGAGCCACTGCACCCGGCCAAGGAGAGTATATATTCTAAGAAAACAAAAGTAACCACAAAACAGAAGAAACATTTTTAAAATAATTTTATTAACCCTTGGCCGGGTGCAGTGGCTCATGCCTGTGATCCCAGCACTTTGGGAGGCCGAGGAGGGCAGATCATGAGGTCAGGAGATCAAGACCATCCTGGCTAACACGGTGAAACCCCGTCTCTACTAAAAATACAAAAAATTAGCCGGGCACAGTGGTGGTGCCTGTAGTCCCAGCTCCTCGGGAGGCTGAGGCAGGAGAATGGCGTGAACCCGGGAGCCAGAGCTGGCAATGAGCCAAGATCGTACCACTGCACTCCAGCCTGGGCGACAGAATGAGCCTCCGTCTAAAAAAAAAAAAAAAAAATTGTATTAACCCTTAAGAGTTTAAGGTTAAAAAACAAAAAGAATTTTAGAGTTAGGCACAGTGGCTCACGTCTATAATCTCAGCAACTCAGGAAGCTGAGGTAGGGCCAGGAGTTTGAGATTGCAGTGAGCCAGAATACTTAAAAATCATATACGACTATTAATAGGTAAAATCAAATACAATGCAAATATTCTGGATTCATCATAAAAGTTATATGCAATGCAATGATGCTCCTAAGTATTGCTTCAGACCCAAGTTAAAATGAAACAAGAAAGAAAAAAACATGGAAGGAAGAACTTTAGAACTGGTAAAAATAGAGGGGAGTGGTGATATTTTACCAATTATCTGAGGTAGCCTTGGGACTAGTGCTCCTTGGCTGCTCATGTCTTCCCAGTCCCCAGAATACCAACAAATGTCTCACCCAGTGGCTCTGTCCTCGCAGTTTATCATTTGATTCTCCTACTATTTCTTCCCATACAGCAGCTGTTCGGTCAAAAGAACAGGAAGCCAAAACCTGTCCAAATTCAGGATGGGCCCATGTCACACGCCATACAGATCCACTATGTGTCTGGGGAATCGAAAAGAAAAAGAAAACAACAGATATTCGTTATTCCAGGGCTCCTTTTTTCCTAAAAACTTAGTTTATTCATATTTCATAAACACTGGTTTTATGTAAGGAAACAATACAGTTTTACTTCTATAAGAGGAGAAAACTGATCAACATAACATGTAAATAAAAAGTTAAATCCAGAATGTTTTAACCTTTAGAAGACATTCTATACTTAGGATTATAGCGCTTCTGGAATTCAGTTCTTTTCACATTTTACTAATAAAATAAAAATCTAGCCAGATAAAGTTTACTACTTTCCAGTGCTGATAGTTGGAGAGTTGCTTCAGAGTTTAGCGTAACCAACCTTTAAAACAAAGATTCTACAAGTCCACCATTTTACTTGTAAATTCTTTCTACAGAAAATACCCATCTAATAAAATAAATAACATTAGATTTATTTGCTCCAAAATCCACAGAGACGGAAAGTAGATGAGTGGTCAGCAGGGACTGGGAGCAGAGTGAACATGAAGTGATGGCTAAATAAGTGCTGGGTTTCCTTTAGAGGTGGCAAACAATGTTCTGAAATTAGAAGTGGTGGTGGTTCGCCAATTTAATGAATATACTTAAAATCACTAAATTGTACACTTTAAATGGGTGCACATTATGATATGTAAATTATAGCTCAATGAAAAAAATACTTTAAAAAATTTGCTTCAACTAGGCATAGTGGCTCACGGCTGTATTCCCAGCACTTTGAGGGGTTGAGGTGGGCAGACTGCTTGATCTCAGGGGTTCGAGACCAGTCTGGGCAATACGGCAAAACCCCATCTCTACAAAAAATTAGTCAGGCGTGGTGGTGTGCAGCACTTGTGGTCCCAGCTGCTTGGGAGGCTGAGGTGGGAGGATCACTTCAGCCTGGAAGGTTGAGGCTGCAGTGAGCCAAGACTGCGCCACTGCACTCCAGCGTGGGTGACAGAGCAAGACCTTGTCTCCAAAAAAAAAAAAAAAATTGCTTCAAAAGTCTAATAATATATAGAGATTATAGCCATAAAATGCTTAAATGATTTTAACTGACAATATAGTCTATTGATAATAGACTACTGTATGAAGAGTAGATACGGGGAAGCCCATATCCTTACACCCCTCATGTTGGCCAAGGGGTGGGATTGGAGGGGATCGGAGAAGGGATATAAAGATCTTAAAGAATGTCACCATCAAAAGAATTTGCTAGGTGCTTCTCAGGGAAAATACTGTATAATAACAAACAACATGCAGAAAATGTGTTTCACACTCTATAGCTAACATTTTTTACAGTCAACAACATAAAAATAGTTTAACCAATAACTTCAACATGGTAATGTCACCAACTAAAGGTACATTTTGCACCCTTATTTTTTAACCTTGTTTTGTCCAGTGTTTTCTGTACCATCTTTAATTCTTACTTATACAGGGCTATAAAGTTAAAAATGCACACTAAGGCAGGTAAGTTTTATTAGATTTACAGTAAAATGCAATCTAACTAAAGAATAAGGTTTGCACAAAGATGCTCATAACAATAAAATGGAAACTTAAATATCCATTAGTTAAGTAAAATGGTATTTTTATTGGCTGTTAATAAAAAGCCTTTAAAGATATAGAAAAGTACATATGAAATATGTTAGGCTTAAAAGCAAGAGATAGGGGTTTCCTTTTGGAATGATAAGAATGTTTTAGAACTAGGAAGAGGTGATAGCTGCACAACACTGTAAATTAAGTAAAAGCCAATTAATTGTTTACTTTAAAAGTATTAATTTTGTGATATGTAAATCTCACCTCAAAGGAGGGGGGGAGTTTGGATACAACTTTCACAAAAGAAGATACATGAATGGCAAATAAGCATATGAAAAAATAATCAACATGAGGTATTAAGGAAATACAAATAAAATCCAATGATTTTGTGGTCACTTCTCAACAACTAAAACGTCTATAATAAAAAAGACAGGTATCATCAAGTGCAGGTGAGGATGCAGAGAAACTGGAACCTCACACACGGCTGGTGGGCACAGTCACTTTGGAAGAGTTTGGCAGTTTCTTAGAAAGCTAAGTATACATAACCCATCAATTCCACTCCTCGGCATCTATCCAAAAGAAATGAAAATGTATGTCCACAGACTTACATGGCACGTTCTTAGCATTACTCGTAATAGCCAAAAACTAGAAACAACTCAAATGTCCATCAACTGGTGAACAGACAAACAAAACGTGGCAATATATATACAACTGACTACTCAGTATCAAAGGAACCAACTGACACATGACACAATATGGATGAACCTCAAAACATGCAAAAGGAAAGTGACCAGACACAAAGGACTATGTATTTCAGAATTCCATTTCTATGACATTTCTAGAAAGGATAAACCAGGCCAGGCGCGGTGGCTCACGCCTGTAATCCCAGCACTTCGGGAGGCCAAGGCGGGCGGATCACTTGAGGTCAGGAATTTGAGACCAGCCTGGTCAACATGGTGAAACCCTGTCTCTACTAAAAATACAAAAATTAGCCAAGCGTGGTGGCAGGTGCCTGTATTCCCAGCTATTCAGGAGGCTGAGGCAGGAGAATTGCTTGAACCCAGGAGGCTGAGGTTGCAGCGAGCCGAGATCACGTCACTGCCCTTCGACCTGGGCGACAGAGCAAGACTCCAGCTCAAGAAAAGGGCAGAGGCGGGTAGGGCAGAGGAACCTATGGAGACAGAAAATGGATCAGTGGTTGCCTGGGGCTTGGAGTGGGAAGAGGCCACAAGCAAACGTCTGAGTTTGAGAGAAATGTTCTAAAACCGGATCACAGTGATGGCTGCACAACTCTGTAAGTTGACTAAAACTCACTGAACTGTACATTTAAAATGGATGACTTTTAAGGTATGAAAATTTCTACTTGGCCGGGCACGGTAGCTCACGCCTGTAATCTCAGCACTTTGGGAGGCTGAGGGCAGATAACCTGAGGTCAGGAGCTTGAGACCAGTCTGGCCAACATGGCAAAACCCCATCTCTACTGAAAACACAAAAATTAGCCGGGCATCATGGTGCGTGCCTATAGTCCCAGCTACTCAGGAGGCTGAGGCAGGAGAATCACTTGAACCCAACAGGCAGAGGTTGCAGTGAGCCAAGATCACACCACTGCACTCCTACCTGGGCAACAGAGTAAGACTTTGTCCCCCCAAAAAAAAGAAGAAAATTTCTACTTGAGTAAAGGTTTTTTTTTTTTAAAGAGAAAACTATGTATGTAACATTACAACTATTAAAATACGTAAAGGAAAAAGGAATATTCTGAATTACTAAGATAATTATGTTAGAATGCTACATAATTACAGATTTTCTTACTCTCAAATTCTGAGAAACACACTTGTTACTTTAATAGTGAAAAGCAGTAAAATGTCTCTCCAGGAAAAGAATTACTATATTAATTTTATCATTTTCTCAAAACAATTCATTGATAACTATGCAATAAACAGTAAATATTTCTGTATTTTTAATAACTGTAAAAATAAACACTAACCTTCCAGCTAGCAGTACAATGCCAATCACCACTTTCACTTTTATCCCAGACCTACAAGAAAATAAAAGGCAGATATTTTATACAAAAATTCCTACAAATTGATACGAAAAACTGTAAGACTGAATCAGTGTACAAGCAAAGGGATGAACATATAATTCACAAAAGAATACAACCAGCAAGTAAACATTCATTCATTCAATTAAATATTTATTGGGAGGCCGGGTGCGATGGCTCATGCCTGTAAACCCAGCACTTTGGGAGGCCAAGGCAAACGAAGTCAGGAGTCCGAGATCAGCCTAGACAACGTGGTGAAACCCCGTCTCTACTAAAAATACAAAACTTAGCCATGCGTGGTGCCCCACGCCTGCAGTCCCAGCTACTAGAGAGACTGAGGCTTGAACCCCGGAGGCGGAGGTTGCAGTGAGCTGAGATCACAATACTGCACTCCAGCCTGGGCAACACAGCGAGACTCCTGTCTCAAAAAATATAGAGAGAGAGAGAGAACCTTGAATGTGTCAAGCACTGGGCCAGGCACTGAGGGATTCAGGAAGCTGAGCTCTAAATAACAGAGATAATTAGTTACAGTCAAATCTCCTTATTCAAAGTAGTTGTTTTCTACAGTGTGGCCTCCACCACAGAAACATTGCTCCCAGGGGAAATACTAGGTTAGGTTCCTGTGAGTCTGGTCTACATTTTTGTCAACCAGTCAGTACATGACCTTGTTTAATGTGTGTTTCTGTTTAAAGAGAACTTATTTAATACATATTGTTTATTCATCAATATTGAACTCACTCAACAGCACTATAACTCATGTCTGAAGGAAGCTTCTCTAACGCGCGTACTATCGCTTTAACGCACGTCGCCTCCTTCTGTATAGGAATCAGACAGCACTTCAGCACTAGGCTTGGAGGCCATTTTAAACAGCGAAATCACCAATAGAAAGAACAAACAATGAAAAAATCATTGCACTAAATAGATCACAAAAAACACCTGCTTACAGTACGAGCCAAAATAGAGTATCACCTGGTTTCACCTCAATGGGAAACGTCTGTCCTGAGACTCAAACTTTTCACCACTCCGCACGCATGCACAAATGACTGCAAAAGCAGTGTGACTTTTGGGATACAAGTAAATTTCAGAGTAGACAAATTAAAAAAATACAAAATCTACAAACTATAGGCTCAACTGTACATGTAACAAATGGTAAAGCAAAAATATTGAAACCAGGCATGGTGGTGCACACCTGTAGTCCAAGCTACTCAAGAGGCTAAGGCAGGAGGGATTACTTGAGCCCAGGAGTTTGATCACGCTCGTGAATAGCCACTGCACTCCAGCCTGGGCAACATGGCAAGACTCCATCTCAAGACAAAAAAATTGAACCTTATTACCCAGAAAAAATATAGATTACAGTAAGAAGGTGCCAATTTCACCTATTAAAAATGTAACAAGGGCAATAACACTATGAAATCAATACTATCACTGGCAGTATAAAAACGGTATAACCTGAAAAATAGCAATTTGCCAATTCTCTTCACTAGTTTTTAAAATATCCACTAATTTCTCTTCTGGAATTAGCCTAAGAAAATCATTCAAAATACATAAAATGCTAAACTAATGAAAATTTTCAGTACAACACTATTTCTGACAAGACATGTATGTATATACACACACTCTACTACCATGGCAATTTAAAACGTTAAAGGAAAAACAGAGGAAATCAATAAATATTAACAAACATTAGCAATAAGCCTGTAATTTTTTTACTCTCTAAAAAGAAAAATATATTACTTGTTCATTTCAAAATATATACAAATAAATACATGGCTCCTCCTTTAAAAAAAAAAGTACTCTGGAATAAATGGACATAAGCGGGCTGGGCAAGGTGACTCGCACCTGTAATCCCAGCACTCTGGGAGGCTGAGGTGAGAGGATCACTTGAGCCCAGGGGTTCGAGACTAGCCTGGACAACACAGCAAGACTCCGCCTCTACAAAAACAATTTGTAGGCAGGCCTGGTGGCGTGCATTTGTAGTCTCAGCTACCGGGGAGGCTGAGGTGGGAGGATCGCTTGAACCTGGGATGTTGAGGCTGCAAAAAGCCAAGATAGCACCACTGCACTCCAGTCTAGGTGACAGAGCCAGACCTCGTCTCAAAAAAAAACGGAAAAAGAAAAAAAAAAATAAGTGAAGTAAACCAAATATAAAAGGGCGAATATTCTATGATTCTATTTATCTGAGGTACCTAGAATATGCAAATTAATAGAAAGTAGTAGAAAAGAGGTTACCAGAGGGTGAGCTGGAGGCAACAGGGTGCTCTCCGGTACAGAGTTTCAGTTTAGGATGATGAAAAGGTTCTGGAGATGAGCAGTGGTGACGCCGCACAGCAATGTGAATGCTGTGCTCAATGTCACTGAATTCTACACTTTAAAACGGTTAACGTAGTTTATTACAACAAAAACTTGTTTCAAAAAAAGAAACTACATCGTTTAAGAACTGCAACACTACCTATAAAAAGTTTATCTTTGAGAGATCACTGGTATCAAACTCGAATGTGAAAAAGGAAAAACTGTCCTTTAGATTTTCAGTGACTCTGGAGTTGTCGAGAACCAAAATAAGCCGCACTCCAGCTTTCATTCATCCTGCAACGCATCTGGGAGGTTCCTAAATCCCATATATCATCCCCACATTAGAAATTCTGCTTGTCGGCCGGGCCCGGTGGCTCACGCCTGTAATCTCAGCACTTTGGGAGGACGAGGCGGGCGGATCACGAGGTCAGGAGTTCAAGACCAGCCTGGCCCACATGGTGAAACACCATCTCTACTAAAAAATACAAACAAAAAATTAGCCGGGCGTGGTGCGCGCACCTGTAATCCCAGCTACGTGGGATGCTGAGGCAGGATAATCGCTTGAACCCGGGAGGCGGTGGTTGCAGTGAGCCGAGATCGTGCCCCTGCACTCTAGCCTGGGTGACAGTGACTCTGTCTCAAAAAAAAAAAAGAAAGAAAAAAAGAAAGAAATTCTGCTTGTCGGAAGTGTCCACAGACTTTTACAGGAACGTAAAGAAACAAACCCTCCGATTCCTGCGCAGCAAGCAGAGAAGTCATTAGATGTAAACGGTTTGTATTTTTCTTCCTTGGCGTAACAAAGTGAGCTTCTGCTCTGAACCCAGGGAGAAAACCATGTGCCCCAGTAAGAGAACACCGGCGGGGCACAGAACTCGACACAGCGCCGGCCAGGCAGAGTGTCCCACCAGGTCCCACTGCAGGTCCTCGGGTGAACAGTGCGGGCAAGACACGCCACGCCCAGGCAGACGGCGGGACGCCCCCGGGTTCCCGCCCCCGGGTTCCCGCCCCCGGGTTCCCGCCCCCGGGTTCCCGCCCCCGGGTTCCCGCCCCCGGGTTCCCCGCCCGGGTTCCCGCCCGCAGCCACCGCAGCGCTGCCCGTGCGAAAGCCCGGCGTCCCCTGCGGGCGGGAGCGCGCACGCGGCACCAGCTGCGCAGGCGCACGGGAGCGCGGCCCGCCAGGCCGCCGTGACCCCACAATACGCGGGAGGGGAGGGCTTCCGCCCCGTCCAGCTAGGGCTCGCCCGCCACCCCACAGCTTCCCGCGGCGTCACTGAAACCCAGACACAGCCGTGTTCCCAGCACCGCCCACCCACTCCCCCTCCTTCCGGGCTCGACCCCGCCCGCAAGCGCCGCGCGCACCTTCACGCTCTGATCGCTGGAGCAGGTCGCCATCCGCCGCCCGTGGAAGTCGAAAGAGACATCGTGAATGAGATCCTTGTGGTCCGCCGCGATGCTGCGAGCCACAAACATGGCTTCCGTCGGGCCCGCGCCTCCGAAGAGGCCAGTGGCGGCGGCAGCGGCGGCGGCGCGCGGCCCGCAGCCTCGCGCGACCTCGCAGCCCGGGAGCGCACAGCGCGTGCTGCCCACGCCCCCGCACCGCCCCTGCCCATCAAGCCCCGCCCACACCCCTGTCCCTCAAGCCCCGCCCCACCCACGGGCCCGTCCAGCCCCACACCGTCCCCTGGCCCCTCAAGCCCCGCCCAGGCCCTGGCTCATCATGACTCGCCCCACCCCTCGGTCCCTCAAGCCTCGCCCCGCCCCCTGGCCCGTCAAGCCCCGCCTACCCCCCGGGCCGTCACGCCTCGCCCCGCCCTCCCGCCCCCTCAAGCCCCGCCCTGTCCTCGGCCCGGTGCGTCCTGCGGGACTGGTGCGGGTGCCTCCGGGCTCTGACCGTTGGGCGGCGGCGGTTGCTCTGCAAAAGGCGAGTTACCTGTGATGAGAAGCAGTAAGAGCTTATTTGTATACTGTGAAATGAAGAAGGATGAGAAGGTGAAGACTGCTCTCGCGGTCCTCGTCCCTGAATCATAAGTCGACGTTTGGCTGTGTTTCCCCCAGACACGTGCGAGGCGCGCGGAGCGGGTGGAGGAGGCGAGCCGTGGGCGTGGTCAGGAGCCGCGCTCCGCAGGGACGGCCGAGGAGCCGGGAGGGCCGGGGAGACGCCTGAGGGCATGACGGGCAGTCCAGGCTCGGCCGCCGAAGAGCGCAGGCTGGACGGGGAGGAGAGGATCGGAAGTAGTAGTTTAAATGCGTCAACGTTTTACCGGCAGACCGGGCCCGGGGGTTCCAGGAGCCACCACGGGGTAAAGAAACAGTAGGAATTACCAGAGCCCGCCGGTAGAAACGTCATCCCGGGGGAAGGAAGCGGCCGGGGAAGTGGGCCGCCTGCTTGCCGGGAGCCGGAGTCCTCGGGGAAAGGAGGTGAAGAGGACCAGACCCCCGGGAGGACGCCTGGCTCGGATCACGGATTCCGCCACAACGGGAGAGTGGAGGAGCCTCTTCCGAGACGCCAGCGACTCAGGGGGCTTGCTCATAGGAAAAGGCATTCTGGAGGGCGTAGTGGGAAAGTTTAGGATGGAGACGGTGGAAGCTTGCGTCAGGGGAGCGAAAGTACAGAAGGAAAAAAAAACTAAAAATGAGGCTGTAGGAAATGCCTTTGGATTTTGGCCAGGAATGACAAGAATGTGAGGTATGGTAAGATTAGCAGGCTGGAAAGGTTTTTAAATGATTGGTCCCAGCTGTCCCCTGACGGATTGCACAGAAACCTGCAAAGAGAAGTGGCGAAATGACCTTTTTCAACCGTAAATAAGATTGTATTGCTACTTTAAGAGGTGGACCCCACCTCTTACGATAACTGATAACAACTATAACTTTTTTGAAGGTCAAAGACACTCATATCCAAAGAAAGTGCTCACTATAAAAGTCCAATCAAAATATATTGATTATTATTAAAATACTGAAAGTTTAAAAATTCTTTTAATTCAATGTAAATAAAGACAGTAAACAGATCAGTGGTTGCCAGAGATTATCAGAGTGGAAGTGAAGTGTTGAATTAGGTGAAACAGTGGATTTTTTAAAATAGACTTTAGTTTTTAGAATACTTTCAGGTTCACAGCAAAATTGAGCAGAAAATAGAGTTCCCGCATGTACCCGTACTGCCACACATGCACAGCATCCTCCAGTGTCAACGTCCCATACCAAAGTGGTACCTTTGTTATGATCAGTGAACCTACATTGACACGTCATTATCACCCAAAGTTCAGGCCTGGTGGCTAAGTTACCCTGTAATCCAGCACTTTGGGAGGCCGAGGCAGACAGATTATCTGAGCTCTGGAGTTCAAGACCAGCCTGGGCAACGTGGCGAGACCCCTGTCTCTACTAAAAATACAAAATAAAAATACAAAAAAAAAAATCCCCAGGAGTGGTGGTGGAGCTGAGATTGTGCCACAGCACTCCATCCTGGGCAACATTGTCTCAAAAAAAAAAAAAAAAAGGGAGACATTATCTCAAAACACTCTTGGTGTTTTATTCTATGGGTTTTGGCAAAGATATAATGACATGGATCCACCGTTATAGTATTATGCGGAATAGTTTGACTGCCCTGAAAATCCTTAGTGCTCCTGTTCATCCCTTTCTTCTGACAACACCTGGCAACCGCTGACTGCATGGTTTCGACTTTTCCAGAATGGCATATAATGGAATCTGGAAGTGGCCAGCCTTTTCATATTGCCTTCTTTCTTTATAGTAACATGCATTTAAGCTTTCTCCATGTCTTGTCTTGATAGTTCATTTCTTTTTAGTGCTGAATAATATTCCATTGTCAGGCTGTAACAATGTTTATTCATTCACCAACTAACGGGCATCCTGGTTGTTTCTGTGTTTAGGCAATTGTCAGTGAAGCTCCTACAAACATCTGGGTGCAGGTTTTTGTGTGGACATGTTTGCAACTCCTTTGGATGGATACCAAGAAGCATGATTGCTGGATCATATAGTAAGAGTAAGTTTAGTTTTGTTTTTGGGGGTTTTGTTGTGTTTTTTGAGACAGGGTCTCACTCTGTCATGGCAGACAATCATGGCTCACTGCAGCTTTAAATTCCCTGGGTTCAGATGATCCTCCCACCTCAGCCTCCCGAGTAGCTGGGACTGCAGGCACAGTGCCACTACACCCAGCTAATTTTTCTATTTTTTGTAAAGGCGGGGTTTCACCATGTCGACCAGGCTGGTCTCAAACTCCTGGGCTCAAGCGATCCTCCTGCCTTGGCCTCCCAAAGTGCTTGGATTACAGGCATGAGCCACTGTGCCTGGCCTGGTTTTACAAGAAACTTACAAACTGTCTTCCAAAGTGGTTGTGCAGCTGGGCCTGGTGGCTAAGTTACCCTGTAATCCAGCACTTTGGGAGGCCGAGGCGGACAGATTATCTGAGCTCTGGAGTTCAAGACCAGCCTGGGCAACGTGGCGAGACCCCGTCTCTACTAAAAATACAAAATAAAAATACAAAAAAATAGCTCCAGGAGTGGTGGTGGAGCCGAGATTCTGCCACAGCACTCCATCCTGGGCAACATTATCTCAAAAAAAAAAAAATGGGAGACATTATCTCAAAAAAAAAAAAAAAAGGAATTTAACACGGGAAACTGGTTACAAATATATCCGAGGGGTTAATTAAGAGCAAAAAGGGAACATGTGAGATTACCCAGGGACTAGTAACTACGGGAAACTCTGGGCTGGAAGTGTGAAAGCGAAAATAGTTTTACCCAGAGCTACCATGATTGACTCTCTGAGGCTGCTGACTTTGGCACCTTTACCACCAACAGGCAGAAAGCCAGGAGCCAATACTCCAGCTTACACTGCAGGCATCCAACAGAGCAGCAGCCGTAGGAGCCCACAAACTCTGAACAGCTGAGGTTCCCGGAACCTCTGCTACTACTGCTGGGGCTAGGGCTGAGTGCTGCTGCTACTGCTGCTGTTCAAATCACCTCTGAGCAGGAAGCCAGGCTCACCCATTGCCACCACTACTCAGCTATGTGAGCTGCCTCCACAAATTGGATAAAAGGTCTTCTTCCTCCTACATCTGAATCCCCTATGTCTCTCAATGGCAGAACCCAACTAGAAATGGAGAGCTAATAAGAGTCTGGGAAAGCAAATTTGGAGGTTTCCAGTTCGTATTCTGGAAAGAATGCGATCTACAGTGAAGGCTAGGCATGACAGTTCACACCTGTAATCCCAACATTTTGGGAGGCTGAGGCAGGCAGATCACTTAAGGTCAGGAGTTCGAGACCAGCCTGGCCAAGATGGTGAAACCCTGTTTCTACTAAAACTACAAAAATTAGCTGGGTGTGGTGGTGAGTGCCTGTAATCTCAGCTACTCGAGAGACTGAGGCAGGAGAATCGCTGGAACCCTGGAGGTGGAGGTTGCAGTGAACTGAGATTGTGCCACTGCCCTCCAGCCTGGGCAACAGAGTGAGACTCCATCTCAAAAATATAAATAAATAAATAAATAAATATCCTACAATTAGTTAAGAAGCTTTCACATTTTTTTCCTGCTCTGGGCCAGTTTAAATAGATTCCTATGAAGATTTTGTGGAAGATTCCGTGAAAATTTTGTAGATGACATTCACAAAATTTTATCAGCCTGATGCCTTTGGTGATGATAAGTATAGTTAATTTTAACTACCTTTTAAAATTATTTTATTCATGGCCTCTTCAGATTTTTTACCTTTTGTCAAGACAATTTTGATCATTTATATCTTCCTTTAAAAAATCGGCCATTTTGTTCTGGGCATGGTGGCTCAGGCCTGTAATCCTAGCACTTTGTGAGGCCGAAGTAGAAGGATTGCTTGAGGTCAGGAGTTCAAGACCAGCCTGGGCAACATAGTGAGACCTCATCTCTACAAAAAAAAAAATTAGCCAGGTGTGGTGGCGCACGCCTGTATTTCAGCTACTCAAGAGGCTGAGGCAGGAAGAGGATCACTTGAGCCCAGGAGGCAGAGGTTGCAGTGAGCTGAAATTGTGCCACTGCACTCCAGCCTGGGCGACAGAGTGAGACACTGTCTCAAATAAATAAATAATCAGTCATTTCACCAAAATATTTAAACTTATTAATATAGAGTTATATATGTTAATTTCTTGCAATTTGTAAAGTCTCCGTATCTGATGTAAGGCTTTTTTTCTTGTTTCCATTGCTTTTTGTCTTACTATCTTTTTTCTTAACATTTTGCTTTTCAATGAAGTATAATATAGATTCCAAAATGTACACATATCATAAATGTACAGCTCACTGGATTTTCGCAAACTAAACACATTCATGCAGCCATCACCACCTCGAAAAAGGGAGCATGACTCACACCCTTAAAGTTCTCCTGTGGTTCCTTCTGGTCTTTACACCCCTCCCCAAGCAGTAACTACCGACTTCCTTCCTAACGACATAGGTTGGTGTGATGATTAATTTTATGTGTCACCACGGTTAGGCTATGAAGCCCAGTTCTTCGCTCAAACACTAGTCTGGATGTTGCTATAAAGGTATTTTGTAGATGTGATTAATGTCTGCAATCAGTTGTGTTCCGTGGAAGGGTCATATTAATATATACGAAGCGACCCCCAACTGCTGAAGG